CATTAAAAAACCCATTTCAGACAGCCAGTTGCTAAGAGAAAGCCTGCCTGAAGAGAAAGGTCTTTGCCTGCTTGCAGAAGGACAGCAAAGATGGGGCCAGCCCGGCTTCCTGTGGGAGGGAGTTCCACAGTCTGGGAGCAACAACAGAGAAGGCCCTCTCCTGTGTTCCCACCAAATGCACCTGCGAATTTGGTGGAACTGAGAGAAAGGCCTCCCTGATGATCTTAATACCTCAGCAGGCTCATAAGAGTAAGCATGAGCATCACATTTCTCTATAATAAAAATAAATTAGTTATTTTGATGAGATTACTAAAACAATAAGATTTTTTCCAGGAATTTGTTTTCTCTCATTGTGACAAGCAGCTCTCAGTAATTAGTTCTTGAAAGATCCTCCTAGAGCAGATTACGAAAGAGAAACTTATCTTCAATTACAAACCTCATTGAAATTTGTGTGTCTGCTGGATGAATCAAACATGATCCAGTGATTAAGAAACATTTCAATTTACCCAAGTGCAGATTTCAGGAAAATGCAGTTCTGCAGCCTCTTTATTTGGAATAAAGATTGATATTTTAAATTCTCCCTGACAAGTCTAGATGTGTAACTACTCCAAACCAATCAATGCATTTACATGTTTTTATTAGTCTCTCTGAAATATTTAGACTATAATAAAAACTGACATTGCTAAAATGACAGTCTATATGTGAAGTAAGTTGGCAATGGTATCACTTTGCCTTTCAGTGTTTGTATAAATTTTTCTTGACTACAGACCTTTTGAATTCACTCAAAGTGAAGTGGCTCCCTTATGTAAAAGGACAAAAAAGACCCAGCAAAACATTTGTTTTTCTGCAGCTCTAAAGTTTTGCAAAGCACACACCATCTCAAAAAAGGGCAGATGATCAGACTAGTGTACAGCTTAGACACATGGAGGTTCATCATTCCCACAGGGAAAAATATTAATTAAACTACTGGCAATGCTCCACTACGTATCTTGCATAAAGAGCCTCTCCAGATGTTGAGACATAGTAAATTAGATCTGTTGTCACAGAGAGTCATATGAGCTCAGCATCTCACCATAAACCTGACCAATGTGTGGACCATTTCTCTTTCACACAGCATGTGCTGTGTAGTGGACCACATTTGGAGCCGGCAGCCAGCAACCTCTGACAGCAAGGCAAGAAATCAGGAGAAACTAACAGCGCTGATGCATACACCGGGTTTCTCGTGCTGAGGAGCTGGTCTGGGAGCCATATTAATCCCCTGATGCCACCAGAGGAGAATTGTGGGTAATAAAAATGGTGGCTCTCACCCAGTGCTGAATAGAGGGCTCCTGCTGCTGCAAGGCTCACTGAGGAGAGATTCTATCAGAAGAAGCTTTGCCAAAGACCTCCCAAATGAAGTGGGCATGCACACAGAGAATTCTGTTCAGCCTGGATGCTATGTCTGTGATGGAGAGGAGAAACCATGTCACTCCTCATCCATGCTATCTCACCATGAGCTTCAAGGAATGCATGAATAAGGACTAAGGCCTCTCGTTGCCTTAGTTATTCTCTCAGACCCTTATCTACCCTAATAAGTAATAATAATTGCATGCCATAGATCAATTCCAATTCACAGCTACCAACCAGGTTTTCCTGATGTAAGGTACTTAACATGGTTCACCAGTCTCTCCTTTTGCTGGCTTACTGGAAGCTTGCAGTTTGCATTAAAACACACAGATAGCATAAAGCACAATTTCATCAGTCACACACATTCCAGGTGATATCCTCTGATCCCATTCCTGGAAGGCAAAATGGGGGTTCAAACACCAAACCTCAGTTCACTGAGCCATCTTCACAGTACAATCAGGATTATCAGGATAACCAACAAAAATGTTTTTGTTTTGTTTTTTAAACCTGAAGTGTGTCCATAAACTCTATATATCATTAATATTAGTCGTTCGTTGAAAGAAACTCAGATGAACAGGTTAACGGCTTGGACCCTGGATATCTGAAGGACCGCCTCCTTCCATATGAACCTATCCAGCAGTTAAGATCTAGCCAGGGGGGCCTTTTGAAAGAGCCGTCCCTTAAGGAGGTAAGAGGGATGGCTTGTAGACAAAGGGCCTTTTTGGCAGCTGCCCCCAGACTATGGAACACTGTCCCAATTGAGATTCATCTGGCGCCGAGGCTGATGACATTTCGGCGCCAAGTCAAAACCTTCCTATTCCAGAAGCCTTTTAATTGAAATAATATCAACTGTGGGTCCTGATGGCAATTTTTAGAATATATATTTTAATTGTATTTTAATTGTTTTATCTTTTTTACTGTACTGTATTTTAATTGTTGTAAGCCGCCCAGAGACTTTTGGGTAGTGTGGGCAGCATATAAGTTAGTTAGTTAGTTAGTTAGTTAGTTATAAATAAATAAATAAATAAATAAATAGAATTCTCCAAGAGTATGCCCAAACTCTTGTAGAATTTAAGCATTTTTCCACTGGTGCAATGAAACTTCACAACCAAGCACTTTCAAAATAAAAGATCCCTGAATCAACTTTATTGTTATTGTGTGCCTTCAAGTCAGAACTAACTTATAGTCATCCTAATGGGGTTTTCAGGGTAAGTGGGATATTTAAGGAGTGGTTTTACCAGTACCAGTTACCAGTGGGTTTCCATGTCTGAGCCAGGATTTGAACCCTAATTTCCAGAGTCCTAGTCTTTCATTCTATCCACTACTCCACACTGGATATCTGAATCCACTTTTCTGAAAATTCACCATTAGCGCCATGAAATGTTAGTCACTACTGCTAGTCACTCATTGCCATTCTTTTCTGAGCAAAATACACAGCTGTTCCAGGGATGTTTTAATTGTGTTTGAGTTCTCACCTACTATGTAGACGAACTCGTCAAAACTGATGTAAAATTCTGGCTAAATTTAGAGATGGATGAAATCATTGTACATTGCTTTGTCTCCTCCGCTGGTGCACTGTGGTTCCTTTTGCCAAGTAAAAGGACATTGCTATTGCCAAAAGGAACAGATGGTGGCTCTCAATTCAGTTAACGACCTTTCATTTGTTATACTAACATAGGCCAACTCTAAGTCCATGCAGGCATGTAGCCCAGGTAGTCCTTCCAGCCATATACACGCAACCTAAAAGATCTCCAATTTCATTGTATTTCTGCACATACCATACTTTAGTTTCCTGGAAAGACAGGCAAGCAGCCAAGGGAGTAACTACAAACTGGGTATCTCCTAATGCATATCTCCATTTGCAATTTTTTAAAAAAATCATATTTCTCTGTCTTCTCACTGTTTTTGGAAATTGAAACCACAAAAACGGTCCAGTTTTAAATCGTTCCACTGACCTCTATAAAATGTGATTCTTTTAAAAAAAAAAAAAAACCTCCACTTGGTTAAGTATTTGCTTGATCTGGTCCCAGGACTGTAAATTATAAAATCATAGAATCAGAGAATAATTGAGTTGGAGCGGTCCTACAAGCCCATGAAGTCCAATAGAATCACAGAATAATTGAGTTGGAGGGGTCCTACAAGCCCATGAAGTCCAACCCCCCTCCTAAGAGCTGGAGTCCAAATCCGAGTACATCAGACAGATGGTTGTCCAATTTTCCCTTGAAAGCCTCCAGTGTTGGAGCGCTCAACACCTCCTTTTCAAATGTCTGAAAAGCTTTAACAAAAAGGTGAATTTTAGCCCAGAGCACCGCCTACTATCAGCAATTCTCTTGTACAGTGGTGCCTCACTAGACAGTTACCCCGCATGACAGTTTTTTCGCTAGACATTGACTTTTTGCGATCGCTATAGCGATTCGCAAAACAGTGATTCCTATGGGGGAACTTTCGCTGGACAATGTTTGGTCCCTGCTTCGCAAACCAATTTTCGCTAGACTATGATTTTGACAGCTTCCTCCGCGCTCGCAAAACAGGTGTTTTCGGGACATAAGCTTCGCAAGACAGCGATTTAAACAGCTGATTGGCAGTTCGTGAAGCAGCTTTCCTGTGGCAGATCTTCGCTAGACAACAATGATTCTTCCCTTTGGAACACATTAAACAGGTTTCAATGCATTCCAATGGGGAAATGCTTTTCGCTGGACAATGATTTCGCTAAACAGCGATTTCAGTGGAACGGATTATCATCGTCTAGCGACGCACCACTGTATATGCTCCTCTTTTAAATACAGTAAATCTCACATTCCCATCCTATATAACACACTCTTTTCTTTGAAGAACTAACCAAAAGGCAAATGAAGGATATGAAGGGAACCTATCATTGTCACATTAGAAACACCTTCAGTGTGGAGTTACAGGAAGGCACATTCAAAAGGTTGTATTACTGTATGTGATTTTCGAAGAATTTCTGCATGCTCGTTTTCCAACTTGATAAAGATGAGATTCAAGCTGTTTAGAAATGTTTATGGCCAATCTCTCTCTCTCACACACAGACACACTCTCTCACACACAATCAAGTATAACCTAGATGTTCAGCTATAGTAGTGCAAAATACTGTCTTCATACTGTATGATTTAAAATTACCCTATGATGGAGATGAGACAAGACAGTACATAAGTTTAACAGATGATCAGATTTTGCCAAATTCAGTTAGGGTAGATGCTTTTTGCAAAAAAGAAAGAAATGAAACACAGAACTCATGATCACTGTATACAAGTATTGCTTGCCATTATTTATTCATTTCCCAAAGATAATTTACTCAGATAATTGTAATACTTGTGTGATTAGAATAGTTTTATTGCATTTTTCCAAGCAAATAAGCCTTTATTTTCCAAACCACACAATGATGCCTAACTTTATGTATAAATGTTGGAGTTTTACGTAATAAAAAGTGCGTTCTTAGATTGTTTTGATCACAGACATCTATTCCACAGCCACAACAACAATGGCTATAGTTTAAGGAAGCAGAGATGGTTCCTCCCCCCAAGTGTTTACTATTTCATATATCTACATTCATGCTATTTCCCAATCTCTTCTTTCCACTATCAACCTCAGTCATCTCTCAAAGAAGCAGAGTCTGTAAAATCCATTTGGAGGAGGAATGCTTCCATATCAAAGCCTAGCAAATGCAACTGGAAAGGCAAAAAGGTTTCAAGTGTTTTACCTTCATGATCCAGAAGCCAGTTTAAAAAGAAGAGGAAACTTAAAAACAGAAGGGTAAGGAGAAAGATCTGAAGCAACAATACCATCCTTAATTGACTTTTCTTGGAATTTTATTTACAACTTTGCATGCTGTTTGTAGTTTGTGTGGCTGAGAGGAACTTTTCTCAGCTGGGATGATTACCTATCCAGCACTAAAATATTGTTCCTTCCAGCCTTTGAATTCAAAGAGAGCCCTGCCACTCTGCTGAGCATTCTCTTTCCCTCTATTTTCTCAGTTGGTGGTAGTAGTTTGCTGTTGATCTGCTCAGTTGATTGCTAAGTATGTGTGCAGTAAAGAACGCAGCACACATGTCTGTAATTTTAAGTAACTGTAAGTAAAGAAAATGTTTTCTTTACTCTTTCTACTACAAATGTCTCAATTTGAGTTTCTGAGACTTTGGTGTTGTTGTTTAGTCATTAAGTCGTGTCTGATTCTTCGTGGTCCCATGGACCAGAGCACACCAGGCCTTCCTGTCTTCCACTGCCTCCCAGAGTTGGGTCAAATTCATGATGGTAGCTTCAATCACACTGTCCAACCATCTTGTCATCTGTCATCCCCTTCTCCTATTGCCTTCACACTTTTCCAACATCAAGGTCTTTTCCAGGGAGTCTTCTCTTCTCATGAGATGGCCAAAGTATTAGAGACTCAGCTTCAGGATCTGTCCTTCCAGTGAACACTCAGGGTTGATTTCCTTCGGAATGGATAGGTTTGTTCTCTTTGCAGTCCAGGGGACTCTCAAGAGTCCCCTCCAGTACCACAATTCAAAAGCATCAATTCTTCAGTTGTCAGCCCTCTTTATGGTCCAGCTCTCAGAGACTTTAAGTGCCACTTATTGAGGAAAAGGGTGGACTATCTGGGAAACTATTCTCCTCAGTGATTATCCGTACTTCTACTGCATAGCAAAAGGAATATTTTTCATAAAATATCTTTATGAAAATAAAGATATGATCCCTTGTACTTTAACTAGAATCCCTCCAATGAAATATATGACACCAGAAAGTATTATTTGTTCAATACTACTGTAATAGAGATTCCTCCATTATAACACAGAACATTAAAAAAAAATTAAAAATGGTAGCAAGTCTTGTCTGGATAGCACAACATAAAGTGCATCAGAAAGTTAAAAATTAATTATTTGCTAACCTCTAAGAACCAAGCATGGTTTTAAAAATTTATCTCCATGTCTTCCCAAACAAAACAAAAACACAAGCATTACACAATAGTTACATAGTAAATCTGACAGCGTTAGAGGATAATATTAGCTCTTTTCTCAAATCCTTACATCCAGTTCATCTCACTGACCCATTACCCCTGAAAAGTCAAAAGGCTATTCCTTCAATCTGTGTGGTAATTGCTTAATTTACCTGAATACAACATGCAGAAAATTTGGATGCCAAGGCCCCTCTCAAATTCTCCTCAAGTGTTGCCTTGAAGGCAATCAATCACTCCAGGTTCTACAGCCAATGACACAGACCTTCAGCTCAGCCACTGCCTTGTCATATTAAACAAGGTCTCCAGCCTTGTCAGAGAAAGTAATGAGAAAATAATTTGTCTTCAGTTTATTTGTACTCTGTTGAGAACTGATCCACCTCCATCAGCTCTCAAACAGTAGTAATTCTGAAGACACTATTACACGTTCACAGAATGGGGTTAATTTTTACACATTCCCTATATTGGCTCTCCATATGCACTATTTTGAGCATTCTCAATTTTGAGGGCCAATGATCAAGTGCTGCGGGACATGTGCATACAGGAAGTCGGCTATTTAGAGCCATCTTTTGATAAATAACTCATCAGGTGGTAATACCATTCTGGGATGGCACTGCTTCAGATGGCAGATGAATAATAAAGGTTGAATATTCTCTCACACAGACTTTTCTCCACATGGAAGACTGTGTCAAGGTAATGTTCTTCCCTACGTGCTACTTGTACATAAGGATCTCTCCTCATCCCATAAGATAGCCTTCAAATATACAATTCCTCAATTTCTGATCTGAAGCAGATGTAGAGAAAAAGTATTTCATACACAGAGTCAGTTTACACAAACTAGTCTTGTATGTTTAATTTAACCCAAACAAATGGTTGAGAAGATATTTTATCCTCAATTACACATCCATTTTACCCAGCTCTTTGACATTGCTTGGTTGACTTTGGCAACCCTATATATCCAAGCCTATGAATCAGCACAGAACCATGGACAAATCGTATGTGGTATAGAGTTCAAGGGCTGGATCTGGAGGAGAAAATCAACCGTTTGAGTCCTTCTCAGCCACAAAAACTCTCTAGGTGCCCAACATCACTAAGCAAACATTGTGTGCAATAGTTGCTGTGAAAAGTGAAAAAGAAAAAAGGAAAACCCTGCAGAGCCACTTAAACACCACCAAAAAAAGAAAAGAAAAAACAGGAATGCATCATCAGAAAAAAATAAAGACTCAGATTTAGCTAAAATATGCATATGCTAATTTATATCCATAGTGTTAATGTGGAAACAACATATGAAGACCAGTTGAAACCAATTAGACTTAAGTAACTAATCAGTCCCATTTATTTAAATTAGCCACTCACTGGACAGAATTCCCCCACTGTAACCTAAACATAGGTACAATACATCCTACTATAGTAAGTAGACTGTTACTTGGAGAACTGTGTGTCTACTCAGTCTGCCATACAGGGGCTAACTATTAATGGGCAGCTTCAAAGCCCCTGCCTCCCTTTCTAGTTCCTTACAAAATGACTGGGCAATCATTCAAACAGAGATCATCTTTAAATACAGAAATGTTTTCTGAAGTAATTCAAACTTTAAAGTGGCCTCTGTAAAATAGAATACTGTATATGGCTATTCTAACCATTGAGGCAGCCTGTGGTTGGAATGCAAGAGAAGGGTGCCATACCCAAAAATTGTGGGGGCAACTCCTCTGCTTGGAATGCAAGCCTCCCATGTTTTCTACCACTATTTGTCTGTATGTCAGACAAAAATGTGACACATGAAAAACTGAAAAGTAGAATTGTAAACTGCTTTTTATAAAAAAAAATAACACTAGTAACTTTCAGATGTTTTGTGTTGTATGCTGTCAACTCGGAACCAAGTGAGCAGCCCGGATAGAGCTCTCAAGGTGAGTTACTTAAGGAGTGGTTTTACTTGTTCCAACTTCCCTGCTAGTTAGTTTCCACAGCTAAGCAGAGATTTAAACTCAGGTGTGCTGGGTCCTAGTCTGTTATTCTATCCGCTACTACAGCACACTGAGCGTACTCATTGAGTTAAATGTATTCGCAGAGGGTTTCACGTAACCCAAGGTTAAGAACCAGTGACTTAAGGAATGGTTTTACTTGTTCCAACTTCCCTGCTAGTTAGTTTCCACAGCTAAGCAGAGATTTAAACTCAGGTGTGCTGGGTCCTAGTCTGTTATTCTATCCGCTACTACAGCACACTGAGCGTAGCTGGCTAGATAACTCATTGAGTTAAATGTATTCGTGAAGGGTTTCATGTCCGGGATCTAATGATTGTTGTGGGTTTTTCGGGCTCTTTGGCCCTTTTCAAAACTGTAATGGTTGTTGTGGGTTTTTCGGTCTCTTTGGCCGTGTTCTGAAAGTTGTTCTCCCTAACGTTTCACCAGTCCCTGTGGCTGGCACCTTCAGAGGACAGCACTGAAGATGCCGGCCACAGAGACTGGCGAAACGTTAGGAAAAACAACCTTCAGAACACAGCCAAAGAGCCCGAAAAACCCACAACAACCATCAGGGAGTTAAGTTTCTGATTGCAGAGTCAGAGGTCAGAAGTTAAATTCTCCACTTTGGCTCTGAGGAAAAGAGCTTGTATGACCTCAAGGAAGCTGTATAATTGCAGAACGCTCAGGGAAAAGGGAATTATAATCCACGTATGTGTGCTCTATACCTAGCAAACCCTGGAAAGGGTTGGCATAAGTTGGAAACAACTTGAGGGCATTTACTTATAATAATTTTAAGATACACTTGCCTAAATTCAGTTGCTAGACACAACTAAAGTAGATCCATTGAACTGATTGGTGAATGTTGAGTCAACAGTGATGTAAACTTGACAGCTTCAGTGGATCAATTGTGGTTGTGACTGTCAACTGAACTTGTTTAAAGATTTCCATTTTTCAGACACTTTCAAAAACTTACTTTAAATTAGAATACATATTTGTATTTCCTCAGCAATTTAATCAGTCAGTTTAATCAGCCTTTGATTTTTCCTCTTTAGTTAGTAGTTCTCCTTCTTGTGACCACCAAAGTTCAAAGATTTAAACACCAAATGCCTTATTTTTTCTTACATGGGCAATCACCTACAGATGTACAAACTTGCAATGAATGGAATGAGACTCGGTAGCTTTCTACTTCAAAAACAACACTACTCTGTGATAAACAAGCCAAAGTTACCTTCTTTTACAACACCATGCTGTGATTTTCCTGTTAAATGTTTAATCATCCTGTCAGAGCAGGAGGGATCAATAACATCCTTTCAATTACAGTAATAAATGTAAACTTTATACATCCTCCTTGAAAAAGGTCTGAAGTCTAACATTTGCCATCTGCAAAATATACTTCCATTTTTTAAAAAAAATATTCCATTACAAATGAACTGTTGCCTTAAACCCCTCATAGTGTATTTCTAATAGGCAATCAAACTCAAATTTAGTTTCAGTTGCTTAGGTTTTTATTGACTAAAGCTTCTAGGTAACCTGTATCCTCACAAAGACTTGCAGAGGTAGAATCACAACATTGTACAGATGTAACCTCAATGGTCATCGGACCAGCTCCTTGTAGTAGCAGGAAATTTACTGCTAAAGCAAACTTGACAGGTGGCCATTGAATTAACAATGGCTTAAAAACTTCCAATGAAGAAGAATCCATTACCTCCTAAGGAACAACTTTTACTGTCAGAACACAGTACTCCTGGTGAGGGTCTGACCAAAGCAGAGTGGAGTGGCATTAGTCCTCCCTTAATCTGGACACTATATATTTCTAATGTGTAGCCTAGCAGAGCATTGGCTTTTTTTGGCTGCCAAATCACACTTTCAGGAATGGGGACTTGAGTCAGGGGACTTGCTGTCAAGTTGAACATAAGTCATCCCAGTGACGTGACTTGGACTCTACTTGTGACTCAGAACCCACACTTCCCTTTTTTCTAGGGAAAAAAAGCTTATTTTTAATAGGGATTCAGACTTGGTACCAAAGACTTGCCAATATCCCTGGTGTTTGGCTTGTGGTCTACTAAGACAGCTAGATCCTTCTCACAGATACTCCTGCTGAGCTCGGATACCCATTGTGATGTAATGGATACAGTGACAGCCTTGAACTCAGGAGACCTGGTTTCAAGTTCCAGCTCTGCCATAGAAACCGATTGGTGGAGTGGAACTGGTAAAACCATTCCTTAAATATCTGAATAATCTTAAAAGACCTATCAAGGCCACTGTAAATTGGTTCCAACTTCACGGCACACAACAACTGCTGAACCAGCTCTCTCCCATCCTGTATTTGTACATATTAATTTTTTATTTCTATTTTTCCACATATATTTATTATTCAAAGCAGGTATTCATTCCACCTCAAGTGAAAACAGCTAAGAAAATATCATGCAAATGGAGACAGCATACATAAAGTTATCAGGTTGGTTAATGACACTCATTCTTAACTACTTAAGTCAGAATGTTTATTGTTAAACCACTCCGATGAGGAGAAAAGAAGAATGAAAATAACATCTGAAGGAAAAGTGGGAAATGTTATAAAATATTTAGGGATTAATAATACCTGGAACTTACAAGATATAATTAAAATAAATGTGGATAGGTTGAAAAATAGATAACTGGATGGATAAAAAATTGTCAGAAATTAAATATTTCCTGATTTGGTAGAGTAGAATTATGTAAAATGAAAATTATTCCTAAATTAAACTTTATATTTTGGATGCTTCCTATAAAGATTACAGAAAAACAATTGAAAGAATAGCAGACAATGATAATTTGTTATTGTAATGGATATAAACGAGTGAGGATCAATAAAAAATTATGATATGTAACAAAAAAATGGAGGTCTTGGATTAACCAATTTAAAATTATATTACATAACAAATCAACTCAAACATATCCCAGATATTATTAAAAGCAATAAAAATTTAATTTGGACAGAAATAGAAATGCATGGAAAGGAAGAAAAAAAATGAAAGCATATTGTTTAAAGAAAAGATTGGAGAAGAGATTAAAAAGATCACTAGCCCTTTCCTTAAAAACATGTTAGAAAGCTGAAAAAAGTTTAGGGGTGTATTGTGCCCACTGATTTCTCCCTTATCCCATGTTGTGGATTTAAAGAACTTTCCAGAAAATCTCCCCCCCAAAAAACCCCTTAAGAACATATTAAAAGATAAAGGTATAAATAGGATAAAAGACTGGAAGGAGAAGTTATATTAAAAGATAAAGGTATAAATAGGATAAAAGTTTGGAAGGAGAAGTTAAAAGGTAAAGGAAATATAAAAGAGATTTTGGGAGGAGAGGAGATTTCTTGGATTAACATGCTCCAGATAGAAATGTGGACAAAGGAATGGAAAAGTAAGGAAGGGAACAGCAGAAAAATGACAAAATGTGATTATTGAAAAAAGGCTGAAATTAGAGGAATAAAGGTATAAATAGGATAAAAGTTTGGAAGGAGAAGTTAAAAGGTAAAGGAAATATAAAAGAGATTTTGGGAGGAGAGGAGATTTCTTGGATTAACATGCTCCAGATAGAAATGTGGACAAAGGAATGGAAAAGTAAGGAAGGGAACAGCAGAAAAATGACAAAATGTGATTATTGAAAAAAGGCTGAAATTAGAGGAAAAGATAGAAAGAAGGGGAACTGTAAGTCAAATATGTAAATTATCAATTCAGGCTGAAGGATACATAAGGATTAAAAGCAAAGTGACAGTATGATTTGGATAAAGAAGCAATAGGAGAACACTGGGATAAAATGTGGGATAAAAGAATTATGAAGAATATGTCTGTAAGAATAATGGAGGTGGTATTTCATGCCGGTAAAACTGAATACAATAAATAAAATTTATCATCATTTTGTTGGAGGTGTAAAAAAGAGAAGGGGACGTCTTTAAATAAATAAGGGAAATAACTGGATTAAATATTTAAATGTCCCCGTTAACCTTATTGAATATGGCCAAGGAGGATCAATTGCTAAAAGAAAATAAGGATTTAATTGTAATAATGGTTACGGCAGCAAGGTTAATATTTGCAAGAAATTGGAAAAATGATAACCACTCTACTCAACAATCTAGCCGCCATATTCTGGACTTCCTGGAATTTCCCTAGCAGCCTCATGGGTAGCCCTGTGTAAACAGCATTACAGTAGCTAATCTCAAAACTACCAATACTTGGACCAGCATAGTGAGGGGGACCTGGTGTCAAGGTAGGACACAGCTGGGAGAGCCACCTCAGACGGAGAAAGACCACACGAGACCACACAGACGCTACACTGGGAATCCATTGATAGCGCTGGGTCCAGAATTACACCCAAACTGCAAACCTCATCCTTTGGCCCTCTAGGAAGGATTGGAGTCAAGCCAAAGACAAACTTCCGATCCCCAACCCAGAGAGCCTCCCCAGGATACCATGGTTGACAGTATCAAAGGCTGCTGAGAGATTGAGGAGGACCAGCAGGGACATTTGGCCCCTGTCAGTCTCCCTTTAGGAGGTCATCTTGCAAGGCAACCAATGCTGTCTCCATGCCTTGACGTGGCCTGAACCCAGACTGGAATGGATCGAGGGCACTGGTCTCCTCCAGGAGAGTCTATAGCTAATTGGCCACCATTCTCTCCTCTAGTTTGCTTTAAAATGGAACATTGGCAATGGGTCTGTAGTTGTTAATATCATCTGCCACCAAGTTTGGTTTTTACAGATGGGCCTAAGGAGTGTCTCCTTGAAGCCACTGGGAACCCTGTCCTCATGGAGAGGCCCATTAATGACAGCCATGGCCCATTACATCTTTACAGGCCTGGCAACTTTTATGAGCCAGGCCAGGCAAGGATTTAGGGAGGTTGCGGTGGGTCTACCACAATCAAGCTCCCCATCAACCTCAGCTGATGTCACAAGGATGAAAATGTGTTAAGTCACTGGGCAAGATAGCACAGCTGCTTGATCTACAGAAGAAGAATGGAGGTCAAGGACCTGGAGGACGGTCTCCACTATATGTTTGAAAAAATGCTGCAAATTAAATCCAAGTAAATCTCTTCCCTGATTTCCCCTTAAAATATCTCATGTTTAAATTAATCAACAATGTATACATCCGGACACTCCTTAAGTATTGGTTTATTAATTATTAGCTCTTATTTAAATTGTTGTCTTATAAATTTTGAGAATATCACTTAAGACATACCTAGCATTTCACAGAAAACTGGAAAAGGTGGCCTCTATCCTTCAACTTAAACAGTCATTCATAGAAAAGAATATGATTATCTAGAGTTATATCCAATATTTTACATCTGATATGAATACCAAAGTACAACGGTTATTACATTATGGGTATTCTAAAAGATTGAATTTAAGTGGTGGTAATTCTGAACACAAAATTACCTTCTCAATTTGCCTATATTGAAGACAGTGTGAGATATGCAGTTATGTTAATTCTGGTCATAGCATTTCCCTCATTGTATTATAGTACATTTCTCAAAAGGATCTTTCAGTTCTTACTGTTGAACTTCAACAAAGCATTCACATTATGCTAACCTGATATTATCACTATTTTAGCTAGTTGATATTACTCAGAAATGTGAGGAAAGTGAATCCTCCTCAAGAAACAAATTCTATATAATGTATTAATACTTTCGCACTTCAAACAAAATCTGAAGTTGGTTTTTGCCCTTTATCCGAGAACCATTTTTTTCCACAGGAATGATTCAGAAAAGAATGACATTCTGTAGACTCTTTTACCAGCCACAAGCATTAAATCTAGTCCATTGTGAAAAGGTCCTTCACCTATCAAGATAACCTCTGGTGGTTAAATTCTGCCATTTCTCCTGTAATTACACTGAGATAGGGAACGGACGTTTCTTCCTAGGGAATAGAGCCATTATGAGCTGTTTAGATTTTAACTGTCTCTCCAGATTGCATCCCACCCATTCTGGTGAAAATGCAAGGTGCATCTTTATGACGTCCAGAGGCACCAGAATTTTTTAATTTTCACAATGTAAAAATGGAAGACATTACCATAAAGTGAATCTATTAATGGAAGACATTACCATAAAGTGTTCTGCTGCTGTTTCCAACATAGGGATCCCAGCTGTTGTTGCATCTCTGATGTTGTCCAGCTCCCAGAATCCCTCAACATGTTGGCTAGGTCTTCCAGGAGTTGAAGTTCAATAACTCCTGTGGGCCCCATGTCGGAAATTGCAACCCTTTTCCCTTTAAGGGTGTTAAGCTCTCACGAAGTTGCTGCTGCCGCCACCATGCATTGCAACCACACCTCCAGTAAAGATCTACTGCAGCAAAATACTTTCCAATCATCCATGCTGGAGATGTAATACTGGTGTATATGCATACAGCTTCTTCTCACAAAGGGGATTCTGACCTGAAAAGGAACCTTAACTCAACAGAGATCCCACTGCATGTGGGCCAGTTCTACTAGTATACATAAATAGGCAGAGTTTTCTGACTCCACAAATGAGCGGATAATAAATAAATATTCTGCTGCCAGGGAAAAGTACCAATTATAGTAGGAGCAGCTCTAAGACTATACAATAAATATTCTGCTGCCAGGGAAAAGTACTAATTACAGTATAGCAGGAGCAGCTCTAAGACTATATGTTCTCTCTTCAGTACATATTCTTTCTATTATTTATTTCAATTATTCTTTCAATTAAGTAGCATTGTTTCATAAGAACCTCCCAAATATGCTTGAATGAGGAGAAAATGAGAAGAACTAGGATCATGTCCACCACATGCAAGCTGTTATCAGCCATGTAAATGAAGATGTTGAGAGTGAAAACAGAAACAGTAGGTATAATCCCAAATTTTCATTCTCTACAATACTGGTTTGCTTAGTTACATAGAGGCCAGAGTGCTACTGGCATTTGTTTAAAGTTTGTGTGACTTGTCCCAAATAATGGTGGCTAACTGATGAGATGTTATCACAATCTCAGTTGTGTGCCCAGTCATAGATCCAGTTATGCAACCAGTTTGTGCCCAAACAAGCCACAGCAAATTCAACAAATTTTACACAAACAACAGGATTCCAGCCACAGTATGATACCGTAGCTGCAGCATAGCTAAGCAGGGCCTCAGCACTGTGCTATTTAAAATGTCTGCACCTCAAGCTTCCTGGCAACGTATCATAATGCATTAGGCAAGATGAAACACTGAAAGAAATGCATGAAGAATCTCCTTTGGAACAAGATCCCTTTGGGTTGGATAAGAATTTATAATTCCAGGTGATAAATTGGAAACGAAAGAAGGAAGATCACTGAAAAGTGATGGAAGCCAAGGATTTTTCAGGTTTCATTATCATGCGGTACTTTCCATTCCTATCCATTCAGTCTCATTTGAATGGGACCTGGGGGGAAAAAAGTGAAGAGATCTGTTTTCTTGGAAGCAGGGAGACAGTAACCATGTACAAATGCTGTGCTCTGTCAGACATCTGTGTACCACTGCCAACAGATGTTACTGTAATTATGATTAAAATGCTACAGAAATTATAATAATCCAGTAAGTCATGTTCCTAAATTCATTTGCATTGAACAGTTGACTAGGGAAGTAGCAAACAGAAAGGCTGTTCCAAGCTGACTGAGGAGAGAGAGGAACAGGTGATTAAGAGACAGAAATAATCAAGAGTGGGAAGCAGGGAACACCCTGCCTACATGGCAAACCACTATCACCTAATATACCACTGCATCCTGAATACAAGATTTTTTTTTCATGTGTCACCTAAGCCAGCTAGAAGATGCCCTTCAACGAATGCTGGTTGTTACCATTTTCAGAGCAGAACAAACCAAGTGTGCCCCCTCCACCTCTATGCATTCATTCTGCAGGGAAGAGAAAAATAATGAGGGCCTCCCAGTCCCACTACTCTCCCACAAGCTTCCCTCCCCCTCCTCCCGATAGCCACCATTGGGGATGAGACCATGTAGTAGAAACATTTTGCAAATTATTTCCCAGTCCTTGCTTTCACTCACTGAAATGTTTGGTTGTCGTTTGTAATAGCTGGATAAATCAATTCAGAGCTGAGAAAAATTAAACTCCAAACCTCTGTGGAGTCTCAACACGTCGTTCTAAAAAGTAACTTCTCCAGATTTTGCCAATTCACTGAACAAGTAAAGACAATTTTGGAAAATATTACATATGGGTCTCTCAATACATCATGCACAATTATCCACCTCAGGATTGCAGGGAACACATGAAATTGTCTAATATATACAGTGTATTACAGAAGTACTGTACACCACCTCACATTCCGTAAACATTTTAGTATATGTTCTCATGTGACAATACTGAAGAAATTGGCTACAATGTAAAGCAGTGAGTATACAGCTTGTATAACAGTGTAAATGTGCAGTCCCCTCAAAATAACACAACACACAGCCAATGAATGGTGTGCACAACAAGGCCTACAGCTATCATTTCTGTGATATACTGTACGTACGTACGTACATACATACATACATACATACATACATACATACATACATACATACATACATACATACATACATACATAAGCCAAGCTACATGCTCAGTATTGTTTATTCTCACTGACAATGGCTCTCTGGGTTCTCAGGCACAGATCCTTTCCACCACTTGTTATCAGATCCTGTCAACCATAGCTGCCAAAGGCTGGATGGTGGACCTTAAGTGATAGAGGGTGTGTGATTTACAGCTGAGCCACCTTCTTTATGTCAGGGGCCACTGCTTGCAGCAAAATTAAGGAAGACTTTGGGGGCGTTTTTAATGCTAGCCAATATACTGAAGTCAAAGCTATTGCAGACCAGATACCATTTCATTTGATCTAACAAAAGAAGTCATTATGGGTTTATTTTATCATCACAGTTGTTCTCAGTTTAATTCTTTTGAGATCAGATTCTTTGTATCAGTCTGAAATTAACTTTTAAGTGAGTGTCAATTAACAAACAAGATCCAGTCATTGTAACAACTGAAAGTCGATTATTTCATTTTAAAGAAATGAACTTCCATAGGCAGTCCACTTTATCAGTTGTCAGAATGGATTTTCATCTTACATAGATTTCTTTAATCCATTCCAGCATCTGACAATGTGAACTGCAGTCTAGAGAGGCCTGAAATCTTAAAACACAAATGTTAGTTTGAGGAACTGCAAAGATTAAGTTTTTTTTCAGTCAAAACAGTGGCCAAAACTAACCCACTCTGAAGCCTCTTTAATCCATTCCAGCATCTGACAATGTGAACTGCAGTCTAGAGAGGCCTGAAATCTTAAAACACAAATGTTAGTTTGAGGAACTGCAAAGATTAAGTTTTTTTTTCAGTCAAAACAGTGGCCAAAACTAACACCACTCTGAAGCCTTGTTTTGTTGTAAAGTAGAACTGACACCAAAGAAAGATGTTCTTCTCATTCTAGAGGATTGGAATGCTAAAGTAGGGAGTCAAGAGATAAAAGGAACAACAGAAAAGTTTGGCCTTGGAGTTCAGAATGAAGCAGGGCAAAGGCTAATAGAGTTTTGTCAAGAGAACAAGCTGGTCATCACAAACACTCTTTTCCAACAACACAAGAGGCAACTCTACACATGGAAATCACCAGATGGGCAATACCATAATCAGACTGATTATATTCTCTGCAACCAAAGATGGAGAAGCTCTATACAGTCAGCAAAAACAAGAACTGGAGCTGATGGTGGCTCTGATCATCAGGTTCTCATAGCAAAATTCAGGCTTAAACTGAAGAGAGTAGGAAAAACCACTGTGCTACTCAGGTATAATCTGAACCAAATCCCTTATGAATACACAGTGGAAGTGAAGAACAGATTTAAGGAACTCAGTTTGGTGGACAGAGTGCCTGAAGAACTTTTGGATAGAGGCTCGTAACATTATACAGGAGGCAGCAACAAAAAACATCCCAAAGAAAAGG